TTTTTTTTATTTTTCTTTTTTTTTTTTCAAAATTTTTAAAAATTTTAATTTTTTTTTTTTTTTTTTTTTTTTTTTTTTTTTTTCTTGAAAAAGTTTTCGATTCTTATCGGTCAAATTTTATAATTTCAGAACTCAAATAATAGCAACCAAAATTTATCAATTTTAAAATTTAATATATAATAATATTCTTATCAAAATATTATTATTTACAATAAATGTTGTGACGATAGTGGTGACGTTGGGTGCGCCTCAAGTCTCCTATCACTATATTCTCGAATACAAGCGCTTACATACAATCAATGTAGTATTAAAAATCCAAAAATGCGAAAATTAAATACGAATATGGCGCAGTTAAAGGACAAAACTATTATAACAATAAAATTTTTTTAAAGAACCCGCTTCAAAAGTGAAACTATCCAATTTAAAAAACTATATCCACAAAATGTTCTTAAAATCTAAATTTGAGATTTGGTTCAAAAAAATAATAACGAAAATTAAAAAAAAAAATACACAACGAAAAGAAATCTTAATTCATTAAAAAAAGTCACATCTACTTAAACTTATTAGTTTAAGATGTATCTAATAATATAATTGAACATCACAGTCTGAAAGGTCTAATTCATCTATTATTTCACTTTCCTCATTTTCTTTAGAGTCGAAATGGCTTTTAGGAATACTATTAAGTCTCAGAATCACTTGATCAATGTCTGGTCTCTCCTCTGGCTCATGCTCCCAACATTCTATTTTAAACAAGTTAATTAAAGATTAAATTTCATGTAATAGAATGTGATAAAAATTAAGATTATTCTTACCTTTATAAAGATTAACAAATATGCGATTAGTGGCTGAAACAGGCATTTCTCTGGTACCTTTAAGAATTTCCAACTGAATGGAAGAAGCATTACCTGTTGTTTCAAAATTGAAAGGTGATGTACAACTTGTCAATTGCCAGAATAATACTCCTAAGCTATAAATATCAGATTTTTTGGTCAATTCATATAAAGGATTTTCAAATATTTTAGGATCCATATAAGGTATTACACCACGTGGTGTTTTAGTATCTGATCTTTGTAGACACGAACATCCAAAATCCGCTAATTTGATTGAATGTTGATGGATCAAGATATTATTGGGATGCTAAATAAAAAAAATATATATATCATATTAATATATTAAAATCAAATATACAGTATTAATCAACTTACAAGATCTCGATGTATTATGTCATTGTCGTGTAACCATAAAATCGCACTCGCAATGTCGTTGGCAAATTTCAATTGATTTTCCCATTTAAAAGATTCGGCGTTGTCTCTTAAATATTTTCCTAAAGTACCGCCATCCGCATATTCAAGAATCATCGCATAATTTATTTCGTCTAAAAACAATAGTAAAAAGGGTGTGAACAAAATACTTGAATTAAAATTACTAAACAATAATATTACTTCACCTTTTAATTTCGTAATTCCGTAAAATTTAATTATATTTGGATGAAAAATAACTTTTTTTCTCATAATTTCCATTAAATGAATCTAGAAAAGAGTATTTTTAATCTAAATAACCATATATTTTAGAAAAACTATACTATTAATCTCATACCTCATTTATAATAATTTCTTTAATTTCTTTCGTAGAACTTTCGAAAAATTGTTTAATTGCAAGTTTTGTTTTGGTTATTTTCCAATGTGCAGTATAAACCGAAGCATAACCTCCAGTACCAATTTCAGAAAAATCCTTAAAATCTTGAGATTCATGAATAGGAATGTCACAGCCTTGCAACTTTACAAAAGAAACGTGTGTATTACGGTGGTGTAGCTATTACAATAAGGTTGATTAATTAGGTGACACGAGATGTTGTGCATATTCCAAGCCATTGAATATGCAGCGATAAAAAAAAAACCATTTTAGGAAAAGATCTTCTTTTTTTGCCGCAATAATTAAAAAAAGTTTTCAAACAGTATCATAATTGTTTTCATGGTCTTTATATATTTTTTTTTCCATATTATTTTGTGTAACATGACACAATAATTAAAAAAAAAAAAACCCCTGTTCCGAAATATCTCGTAAATCCGCGCACACGATTAAATAAAATTCAATAATTCTAGGATCTAAACAGTAGTAGATTTTATTTTATTTTTTTTAATTTCTTAGTTTATAATAATAATTTAGCATCAATTATTAAACTACAAAAATATACAAATAACTATTGTAAAAATTTTAAGCACCAAGAGAGCAGTGCAATTAGAAGATATGGAAGCACATTTGAAAAATTTGTACGCATTATTTTCATTTGGAAGTTTCCAATCAAGTGGTTATGTTACTTGATACATAATGCACATCCCTGCATATTTTAGTATCACAAGTTTGAGCAGTGCATCGTACACATTTTAATGATTTTTTGCTGACTAAATATACATTTGTGCTTATATCAAGATGCCTTTACTGACATTTTGAGTTAATAATTACGTTTAAACCAATAAATTTTAATTAGCCCGGGTTTAGCTTCATTAAATATAATTTCGCCCGAAAACTCCATAATTTCGCATGCAAATCGCTTTCGATATTTGCAGTTAGTCCTTTGAAGATCATTACCAGGGTGCCAGTATAACAAAATGTCATAATTATTTATTATAAAAATACAAGACGAAAATCCTTAAACAACTTAACATTTACGCTCGCCCTTCTTGTATTTGCATATATATACCTTGAAAACCTTCCTTTAACCCCTTCGCGATATGTTCGCTTTAGCCGTTTTAACATTTCAATTCTATATTTGTAACTTTGTTGTTTTTTTAATTTCCAAATTTTCTTATTATATTATTCAATTTTCGTAGTTGCGCAGTTTTAATCAATTAGAGTTTATTTACTTAGTTTGATATATTGACATGTAGAGCGCCGACATTGAGATTAATTGATATTATTAAATAAATATTTTGTCTTCATTATTCAATAAAAACCTGCTTACATTGCAAATTGTTTATAAATACATATAGGATTATCCTTATCTACTTTTAGTTTGATATGTAAATCATTAATTTAACAAAAATTTAAGGAACCTAATAAATTAATTTATTGTTAAATTAAAGCCATGACATCTTAAACGTTATAAATTTCACTAACGTATTAAATTTTTAATATAAAGGTAAAATAGCAGCGCAATAAAGTTTTGGCTTATTCCAAATTCCATCAACGAAGCTAAGTTAATAATTTCTCATTTCAATAATAAAATGTTTTGTATGATTGTTGATTTTAAATTTTTATGTTAGAATATATGACAAACATATTCGAATGTTTTAATTCAATACTATTTGCTACCTGAAAGTTTAGCAGCGGAATTTTACTAATCTCGCAAAACCGTTGTTAGTCGCAAATCGTACTGCGCCTCAAATGATTTTTAACTGCGCTGAAAATCATGAAAATGCATGTTAAGTAATACATACATGTATCGTTTGATCGACTTTATAATACATGTATCGAATAGTTTACTTTTTTTTTTATAAATATATCTTTTTATTACTTATATTATATTATCTAGTTTTCATTATATGTATCGTTTATACTTATCAAAAAGCGTAGTATAGTACTAGTTAACAATTTTATATAAATAGACCTGTAAGTTGACCTTAAGTTGGCAGAGTTCGAAGAGAGTTCGATCAGATAGTTTTCTGAATAAGTCTTGGGACTAGATTTATAACTCTACAGTTTTAATAAAGTTACTATTTTACACTTTCAACCGTCTTCTTGTCTTCATCATAGTATTGATCGTGATAAACCTACTACACAAGTGAATCGTAATAATAAATTGTTTTGTTTGTTAATCGTTAATTTCTCTTAGGAAAGGCCTTTGAGATAATTGTGTTATTAAGTTATTAGTTTTGTTAGCTTGGTTTTGAGACGATTCCAGGTCTAACACCGTCAAAAATTCCTCTCCTTATATCATTATTATAAAGTCGCTGATGATCTCTCAACCTATTTAAAATGTTCTCTGGAGAACTATAATATAAATATATAAAATAGAAACAAATATAATCAAAAAAAAAATAGTTATTCCATTAAGACTTAAATATACCAACATTTAGGATCATTTGATCTTGTGATCTAGCCGAAATGTCTCCTAAACACATTGTCGGTAACACTTAATTGATTATATTGAATAAATTTTACATCATACTAAAACCTTTTCTTACAATTCCTTTGTTTATAAATATAAACGTAAAGAACTGAGCACAACACAACAATAGTAAATAAAATGAAACATGGTGAATTTTCACAAAGGAGACAACTTTTTTAAAATTTTTTTTCATAATTTCTAAAATTTGTAATTAATTACTTCACAGAATATATATTTGAAATTTTTAATAATGACGTCTCAACTGTCAAAACATTACATTGCCTTTTCATTTTATTTAGATGAACACAAACCAGGCCGATACTTTTATTGTAACAAAACAGTGCAAATTCTATTTAAAAAAAATTCTATCTAGAAGTACTTTATAAATCCTTCTTAAAAAAGTTCAACTTAATTAGGGCTGCCAACATTGTTTCATTTTATATTGTTATATTGTCGTATCATCAAAATCCCATGATAAACTCTACCTTTACCTTTTTGAAATTTAAATTAATAAATATTAAAATTTATATATTCCTATCTAAAAATGAAAAAGTCATGGATTTTTAAAAAATGTAGCATCCCCTTGATTTAGCAAAGTTATGAGTTTACTTATTTCTTTATAGTATTGTAATATATTCGAAAAGCTCTTATCATTATAAATCTAAAAAAAAAAAGAAAAAATTTGAGTCATTAACCTTTCTACGTGATACAACATTAGTGTAACATCGGTCGTATTTCAACAAAAACTTCTCTTTACCGAACTTCACGTAATATCGAACAATTAAGTTGGCAGTGATATCATTTAGAAGCTAAAGTGTTTCTCCAAAATTTTCATCTAACGTGATTTTTGAACACCATTAATGCATTAGAAAATTGATGATGTGGTATAATGAAGTAACAAATATAATTTAATCAAATCATCAAATAAATTCTCTGTTCTCCAGATTTAATAAAATTAGTAAAATTGAGATGACATGGCGATGACAAAACGTTTTATTTTGATCATGTAGGCGAAGCGATACTTATTTATTTAGACGTGTCAGAAAATTTCAATTTTCTGGAATTAGTTTTATTGTTTGGCTAATACTTTCATTTCGTTATTTTTTTAAATTCAAAAAATTTCTCTGTCATGACTAATTGCCAATATTAATTTTACCAATATTTTATAAAAATAAATAATTTACTATTCAAAATAATTTTTAAATTTATATTAAATTCAGATTTAAAACTTATTTTTTATTTATATTTATTATAATTAGAATTTATTATGAAAAACATAAATTCTTATTTATTTTAAAATATATGATATATCTATTTAGTATCTTTTTTTAACTCTTATCTTAAATAATAAATTATAACTAAAATTTTTATTAAATTTTAAATTAACTTTTTTAATAAAATTTATTATAATTATTACTTATAGTATATTATTAATTAACTATTTATTATTTAATATTAAAAGATACATTAATCTAAAATAAAAATAATTAAGAAAATTTAGAAATAAAATTTATTTAACAAAAATATTTTAAACTAAGAAATAGAATTTATAAATAAGAAAATAATTAAACAATAAAATAAATAAAGAATAACAATATAAATAATTTATGTGTTTATTATATTTATTACTAAATTTGATATTAGTTTATATTTTTTAAAATATAAATTATTATAAAAAGATAAAATAAATTTTATTAGATTTATCATATTAAAATATATTTAATGATAATATTTTTAAATTTTTAAAATTAATATTATTAATATATATCAATTTTTCAATTTTTTAATTTTTAAAAAAAATATATTATATAATAATTATTTAAAAAGTAAATTTATTCATCGCAGAAAGGTAATACTCTTTATACATCACCTTTATATATATGTATTATTATAATCCTAATCCTAATCCTAATTTAACCTTAAATTATATAACATTAACCTATGTGATTAATAAGTTTTATATATGAAAAATTTCTAAGTCCCTAGAATATATATGAAAAATGAAAAATGAAAGGTATGATATAAATGACAAAAAGGAGCAATGATATCATACTTACAATGAATAAATTTATTCTTATTTAAAAATAAAATTTAGTTTATTGAATTCATTTCATTAAAATCTATTAAATGATAATATTTTTATATTTTGTGATTAATAAATAATAAGATATATGAATTTAAAATATAATTATTTAATAATAATTTATTATTTATTTATCTTTAAAAAATTATTAGTTAATTATATATTTTTTTTTTAATTTTTACTTAGAATACATCATAAAATTTATTATAAAAGTATTAATTTTTTAATAATATACTTTAAAATATTTATAAATAATTAAAAATGATTTTAATTTATAAATAAAATTATCTATAAATTTGTAAACAAAATAATTAAAGAAATAAAAGAAAAATTATATTTATATTTTTTTATTATAAAAAAAATTTTATATAAAAAATTGAAATTTTAATATCACTATTAAAAATTAATTTATTTATAAAAATTACAAAAAAAAATTTTTAAATATTATATGTAAATTACTACTATATGAGAGCCATGCTATTAAAATCACCATATATAAATAATAATCAAAAAAATAAAATTACATTACTAATAATAAATTATTTTAATTTTAATATTAAATTAAATTAATTAATAAGATAATAAAATTTTATTATTTAAAATTATTATTCGTATTATTAAATTAATTTATAATATTTGAAATTTATTAGTACAATCTTTCAAAGTATTATTAAACTAATTTTTTAATGTAAAAAATGATTTTTTTTATTAAAAAAATGTTTTTGATAAATTATTATTTTATTTAATTTTAATGTCGATCATTTCACAAATGAAGAATTTTTGCCAGATGAAGGCCGTTCTCACGCACCTCCCTCAACGACAACAACAACAGCAGTATTCTGAAGAACCTGATTTTATCAACCATTTCTTCAAGATATGAAGCGGTAATCTTGTATGATAATCTATTTTTCAACTGATAAACCAGCTGTTGAACCAAGTTTTATTTCAACCTCAGTTCTAAAACTTCTGATGCGTCTATAATAAATCGTTGAAAAGAAAATAAATGGAATAATCGAATGCATAATAGCATAATTAAAGGTTAGAAGATTAGACGTCTTTTATTTGCTGTAAGAATTTGTAAAGTAATATAATAATTTTTTGGTTTAGCTGAAAATCCATAATGGCAAGACGAAAAGAAGGAAGTGCGATTGTGCAACCTTTATTGTTGCTCAATCAATGGTAAAATTTGACCAATCAGCGCAGCTCTATGAAAAAAAAGATGGGTAATAGCTCCAGATTTTTTTGACTTAAATGATCATCACTGTCGAATTTTTTAGCCAATCAAATCATCATTGAGGGAGGCGCTTGAGAACGGCCGAAATCAAGTTATTGGTAATACATGATATAATTTATTTAATATTATTAAATAACTTTTAGATCTAGGATGTATTAGTATAACAAAACTAATATCAAAAATAATCGAAAAATAATGCTTCTTTCCAATAGAAGGATATTTTTAATTAATTAAGCATTAGTAGAGGAGATAAGACGCAATACTTTTAGATTTTGTTAAACAAATTTACATCATAATATTATTATATTAAAAATATTTAAACCTTATCGATTCTTATAAACATTTAAAAATCATTAAAATTATAAATTTATGTAATAATTATTTCACTTTGACAAGAAATAATTATGATCTCATAATTACAATTGAAATCATAAATAATAAAAATGAAATATAAGGGTAAGAAAGAGGACTTAAAAAGAATCTTAATACCATGATGACCTTGTTAACTACCGATCAAATTTTTTTCGTCCAACAACTGTTAGAAAACATTCAACATAGATTTATAAAAAAAATATATAGAAAGCTGAAGAATACTTACCACAAAGTTAAATAACATATCATAATAAATGAATTAATTCCTTTGTAGTTATTTAATATATTAAGATTTCCGATTGTTTTTTCTTTACCTTCAAAATATATTTAAAGCGAAACATTATTGTTTGGTTTAATATTATACGCTTTGATAGATTTCATGGAGTACATATAAATTTATAAATTTATAAATATAAATATAAATATAAAGAACATTCTTCTTTCAATTAATTTTTCCAGATGAGGTAAACCGGATTTATTTTAATATGCAAATTTAATCCGCTTTATTAAATTTTTGGTCTTTTTGGAAAATTCGATTTATATATATTTACTTTTTTAGGAATTTTTTTTTTTCGAACGCCTTTTATTGTCACAATCAAACTGTGTTTGTGTAACATTATCTTAGAGCTTGCTTTTTATCATTAAACTTTTAATATATTTATGCTGAAATTTGGAGTTCTTAAAAAACCATTGTTCATATATTCTAGGGACTTAGAAATTTTTCATATATAAAACTTATTAATCACATAGGTTAATGTTATATAATTTAA